TCCCCCATGCTGTGGAAAAGAACACACACCCAGGGGCCAGGAATTAGAACAAGGGCACCAGAGTCTGTGCTTCTGCCTACCACTCTGGCAGTGCAAGAACATTGACAGTGACAGCAAAGAGAAGAGTTTCTCATGACCCATCAACCCTGGGTGGAAAAGATCATCCACCCAAGAAGGGCCTGTCATCCAATATTGGTTTGTTTTGTTTTGTTTTTTAATGGAGAAGTCAAAGTTCTGGAGATTTTCCTAAGGTTTAATGGCCATGTTTCTGTTAACTATTGCTACGTAACTAACCACCCCCAAAACTTGGTATCTTAGAATAACAGTGATTTATTTCTCAGGATTGTGTGGTTCGTGGGAATCTGGGACATTCCCTTGCTCGTTACCCCTGGGCTCATTCACTAGCTACATTCAACTGGATGGTCAGCAAGAATACAAAATCCAGAATGACCTTACATCGTCTGACACTGCGTGACAGCCATCAGCAGGGCTGCCGTGGTTGTTTCCAGTGTGAGTTCTCATCCTCTGTGAGGCTAGGCCAGCTTCCTTTTGCCTGGTAGCCGCAGGCCAGTGTTCCAACAGCATAAAGGTGGGGACTGCAGGGCCTCTGGGGCCTGCACTCTGGAACTCACACAGCATCACCTCCACCACATTCTTCTGGACCAAGCAGTCAACAGGTCAGTGCAAATTCAAGAGAAAGGGAAATAGATTGTGTCTCTGAGGGAGTCGCTACAGTAGCCTTATTTCATGTGGCACGAGTGATGAAGATAGGAATTTTTGTTCTGAGAGTGGGATTCTGTAATTTTATATTCCACAGAGAAAATGTCTCTGAATGACAGCAGTAACCAACACATGGCCCAAAGGTTTGATATCTGGGAACCGAAGAAGTAGAGAAATTGTGAGGCTAGGGTGTGGGGTGCCTCATCCTGTGTTGGCAGTAAAAATGCAGTTGGTGGTGAATGAGGAGGAGCAGCCCGTAGTCCAGGTGATGTCAGTAACAAGAGCAGGGAATGTATGGGGTAATCAAACTGATGATGTGATCCTGTTGCCATGATGGACATGGCCACACCTGTCTAGTCAGCCTGGTGGATGGTGACCTCCCAGAACCACCTTACCAGGCCTTTAGCTCCCCAGCCTCCTTTGACTTGTTTACGTGCCAATTTTTACATCATCTGACCATTTGACTTTCAGTGTGCAGATAGATTCTTCATGCTGAATGTTAATTCTTAGCACCCACATCCTGAGCACTGGTTAAGTATGAAATGAAGTTCTGGTTGGTTTTGTGTCAGATGACAAAGCTGCGATCATGACAGGCTACCAGTGATGGTTCTTTAGAACTTTCTATTTTCTATCTTTCCTGTCTCCTCAGGTACATGTCTAAAGGTAGAAGGGTATCCACACAAATCAGTAGGATTTATGGTGGTGAAATTTATTAACTGTGTTAAATGTACAATATTTATTGCTCTCATTCTAGGTAAATAAAAATCAGAAAGCAGATAGTCATTATCCAGATGGTCCTAAGAGCTCATTCAACCATAAGAGTGCTAGAGATGAATAAATTAGAGCCCAAAACAAGAGGAGAAGGATAAAATTGCATATTTTGTAATTACTACCATAATTTAAAGTTTATTTATTTACATGAAACAAATAAATGAAGATTTGCAACAATACAAAGTGTAGAATGAGTTTGCCTCCTTGGCTGTGACTTCACATCCTTTAAATGCTTTTTAGATTTCTACCCCAAGTAAAATATTTTCAGGATTTGGAAATTCAGCAATGCTTCTTAGAAATTCTGTATCTGCATTCCACATCTAAGAACATTCAATCTTGCCCTGCCTTTCATTCCTCGCTCCACGCCACCCCCATGCAGAGGGTTCAGCACCTTTGGACTCATTTTGGTCATGAGCAGATTGCTAGGAATGAGAAGACCCTTGGATGTTATTCTCACCTTTGACACAGAAATTCTTTAAAGGAGTACATGAAATCTGTCTAACCATAAGTAAAGTAATGAGGGTCTTTGTAAGTATAGCCTTAATATAAACTTGAAGGACTTGTGTCCCTCTCAAAGTAGTCTGCTGTAAAAGCTACACAACTTTTCTACACCATTGCTTTGGTGATTCGAATCACTTGGGGTTCCTCTTTGGGGGCTGCTGTCAGAGCTCGTGTGCAAGTCCGCAAGAAGACCAATTCTATATTTCAGTGTCCTATCTCAATTTTTATTTAATCCAGACATTCCTTCAAATTTTATGGATTGGCCATCTTTGATGTTTATCTATCTAAAAAAAAAATCGAATTCATGTTCAAAAGACTAAATTGTGGTGGTACTTAGAGCATTGAAAGTAATATACCTTTGGCTTCAAAGCTGTGAGGCTCCAGATGAAACCGTTTTACTGATCCTAGCTTACCCCATGGTAATATCACCAGAAACTTGTCAAAGAGCATTAAAAAGTGTTATCATTTTTAGTTCTGCAATCTAGAAATGCCCCATGAGAATATTTTAATCTATTTTCCACCTCTTTCATCTTTTGGTTTACTGTGACCTCCTCCCTGTCTCCCCCTCCCCACCCAAAACTTTTTGTGTCTTCCTTGCCTAAGGTCAACTATTCTGCACATTGTGTTTTTTTTTTTCTTTGATTTTGTTCTTGAATGAGCTGTTCTAAAATTTATCCTTTTATAGATCTTTGTCATTATTAAGTGTATGAGTTTACATCTCATTCTGGCTTCCCACCTGGCTCAAATTTGTTGTCTTCTAAAGGCGTTTATCTTCAACATCATGATTATGAATTTTTATCTTGCCAAATACCACACCAGGAACTTAAAGCATAAGTTTTCTTCATCCCCCACAATACTTTAGGAGATGGATATTATTATAATCTTCATTTAGCAGATGGAGAGGCAGAAGGCCAGATGTACAAACAACTTGCCCAACGTCAATTGGCTAGAAGTGGGATACCAAGGATTCAAACTCATGTTCATCTGAGTCAGGGTTGTTCAACCTTAGCACTGTGACACTTGGGCTTGGGTAGGTTGTAGAGTCTGTCCTTTGCAATGAAGTATGTTAAGCAGCAGCGTCTTTGGCTGGTACCCTCTAGAAACCTGTAGCTTTTAACCTCACCTTCTGATTTTAATAACCTTAAATGTCCCCAGACTTTGTATGTATCCCCGGGGGGAGTATCTGACAAACACTGGTCTAATGCCAAAATTCATGCTTTGGACACTTTATACCATTAGACAGGGAATGAAAAAAAAAACAAAAACACTGTTTTAAGGCAAAAATGTTAAAAAGACCAATTTTAGAAGTCATTATATCTGGCTGATTTGTCAGAATTGGAGATTTTTTTAAAGCTTCTGCTCACCCAAGATGTTGAGAATACACATTGCTAGGTAAGGCACAGGTGTCTATTATAAAAGCCTCGTCATGGTATGATATATGATATGTCAAGATCAATGTAATGTTTTGAACAACTAATAAATTTCTGATGTTAAAAAAAAAAAAAAAGCCTCTTCATGGCATAGGAACCACAGAGCAAATCCTAGCCTAACCACTCATCTGTTCCTGAACCCACTCCTGCCAAGTTCTCCAGCCTCAGGCTTAACACCTCCTGTGATGGTGTTACTGTCGGCAATTCCATATCCTCACTTCCTGAGACTATTTCATCTTCTTACAGCCCTAACTGTGAAAAAGTATTCTTCTCAATATCTTCCTTACATTTCTCCACCTATACCCATATCATCCAAATTAATCATTCTCAAATCAATCAAGTTAAAGCCTTATTGAGTCTCAATTATGTATTAGGCTCTCCTCCGAACAGTTTCTTTACCATGGCTGGTAAAATAATCACCAGCTCTTTAAAAATGACCACCTAACCAGTTTTCTCAGTTTAATAATAGACTTCCTCAAAAGGACAACTACAGCTCATTAAAATCTTAAAATCTTCCGAGGTTGGTCTCCTACCCAGCTTCTGCCGGTAGTGAGGCTGCTCTGGGTTTGTGGAAGGCCTTGACCCTGGGGAAGCCGAATTGCAGCAGTGTTTCCTCTTCCTCTTTTTTTTTAATATTTATTTTTTAGTTTTAGGTGGACACAATATCGTTATTTTACATTTATGTGGTGCTGAGGATTGAACCCAGTGCCTCATGCATGAGGGGCAAGCACTCTACCACTGAGCCACAACCCCAGCCGCTCCTCTTCCTCTTGACCCCTCACCCAGCAATCCTCTTTAGACCTCCTTTGGTAGTTTCAGGAAGATTCCAAAGTGACTGCTCTCATTCTCATTCTCAAAGTGACTCATCTTTTACCATGTGCTCTAGATTTCTTGATGAAAATACAGAGGGGAAGGTAATTTTGTTGTTGTTGTTGCTTTTTAGGTGGGCCACCTTGAGAATATCATTATTTATTTGATTAATATAAATAAATATAAGTTAATTTGCTTGGTACCTCAGAATTCAGACTCTTCTTTAAAGTTAGACAGTTTTTTCAATCTGCGCTTTTGAGTTTCTTCTACATTACCATAATAATGATGAACTTAAAGAAACCTGCTTCTCAAAAATATTGGATAACTGGAAGATTGTGGTAGAGCAGACACCAGTATCTCCAAGGTACCTTAGGCTCCAGTATCAAAGGTTAGCCTGCAGGTGACCAATCACCAGCCAGTCACCATGAGCAGCTAGTGAGCTATAAATGTGTGCCAGCTGTCCTGACAGTGCCTGGACGGATCTGCAGTAGGCAGGTTATGTTTAGAGAAAACCAAGGAGAAAATAACATGTTAACCAGAATAAACTGTTTGGGGTCAAAATAGCAGTCTGGTGTTTTTGTTCTTGTGTGAGATATAAAAAGAAAACTTGAGTTTCAATCAGGCTTAGTATGAACTTCCAAACATCTTGCCTGTGCTTGTGTACGTGCAAGGACATGGCTGGACAGAGGCAAAGCTGTTCTGAACTCTAGTGTCTGGGATTGCTCTGGAAAGCCTTGGAGTCTTCAATGTAGTTTCACTCTCTTGTAGAGTTTCATAAATGGACACTGACATGGACTACGAAAGACCCAACGTGGAAACCATCAAGTGTGTGGTGGTGGGAGACAATGCCGTGGGGAAGACACGCCTGATCTGTGCCAGAGCGTGTAATACCACGCTCACGCAGTATCAGCTGCTGGCCACCCACGTGCCTACCGTGTGGGCCATTGACCAGTACCGTGTCTGCCAGGAGGTAAGGTGCACGGTGTCTTTAAGATCCTTAGGCCATCATGGCTGTTTGCCAGTCAGATTAAAACTAGTGGAAGAGGGTGGGTAAACTGCACATTCAAAACAAAACTACCTTTTTAGTGCCACAAGAGAGAACAGAAGCAAAGGGCACACTTGGGAGTATGGCCATGGTAACCTGAATGGGGGTGAGTCATGTGATTCCAGGACATGAGTTAGGAGCTGGCTTAAGTCCCAGTAGATGAAATAAGGAAACTAAATGCAAGTGGGTTTAGGGGCCCTGAGAAGTGTCAACTTGGACCCCCTCCTGTGGGGGAGTGTGTGATTAACACTGAGCACATGGACTCTGTCTCTCTTTCCTGCAGGTCTTGGAACGTTCCCGAGATGTTGTTGATGAAGTGAGCGTTTCTCTCAGGCTTTGGGATACTTTTGGTGATCATCACAAGGACAGGCGATTTGCATATGGCAGGTAAAACAAGACTAGTGCAGTGTGGTTGAGCTTGAGTAAAATTACCTTTTGAGACCCGGTAGCTGGTTCACATGTTAACAAAAACCACATCATAATGGCCTTTTGAAATATCTTGGGTTCTTTATTTGTGCTGAAGAAGGGGGAAAAAATGGTAATATTTTTTTCTGATATCAAGAAAAACAGAATTTGCTTTGCCACTCAGGAAATTCCAGGTTAAAACAACCAGGGCTAGTTGGCCTGGAAGGTTTACTAGATGAGGATTCTGTCTTATCCTCCAGCCTTGGGCTACTTTGATGGCTGTTTTTCTGAGTGACACTTCATTTGACGTCTGTGAAAGTGTTTCAAGCTATTTTAGCACTTGGCTACTCTACTTCAGAAGGTCTCTGTGGTCTTTTCATGACCATATTAGCAGAGTCTGATGTTATTTGCTTTGGGCTTTGTGTTATCTGAAAAGTCTCTTTATTTTTATTTGAAGGTCATTGTTTAAAAGAAAGGAAAATATCTCTGAAGTTCTTCACAAGGCATGTTTCCAAAATGAACTGAAACACTAATGTCTATTTTTCTTTAAAAAAAAAAATGGAGAAGGAAAAAACCAGTAAAGGAAAGATTAATCTAGGACACTGACATGGGTAGAAACATAGTCAAAATGCCTTAAAATATTTAGCAATTTCTGTCTTTTACCATAACTTGAAATATCTCTCTGTGAATGGATCATAGCTATTAAAATGCAGATAAGGAGAGATTTTTTTTTTACTCCTTAATTATGAAAAAATTAAGTTTTTGGGTGGGGTTGGTACTGAAGATGGAACCCAGGGCCTTGCACATGCCAGACAGGTACTCTATCACTGAGCTACATCCCCAGCCCTCCTTAATTGTAAATCAACACATTGCATTTTAAGCTTAGAATTTAGGTGTCACATCTTAGTTGTCTCTTGTTAACATCAAACACCATGTTACTTCACAGAATTCCAAGCATGTGTATTGCACCTTGGTATGACATAAACCTTTGGAAAAGTTTCTCTATTTCTTCAATCCAGTAGCTCTCTGAAAAATATTTTATTGGTTCTTTTCAAAGTGGCCTAAAATACTGAGTAAAAGGGATTGCCCTACTCCCAAGAAGTAGCTCACATACTGAAAAAACTTGTGATTTAGAACAGTTTATCAAGGGGACTCAGAATGGGACACGTGGAAGTAAAACATGGTTTTAATGTCCCCTTTATAATAAGGATTTTTAACCTTAATATCCAGCATTATAGATCCTTTTCTTCTCTTTGAATGTTCTGTTTGTTTTTTTTTTCTTTCTTTCCTTATTCTCATAATGTTCTTGATGGTTATCTTAGTTGACAGTTCAGGGTTGTTTTTTTTTCTTGCATATAAAAAAAATAAAATAAATGAAGCTGCTTATAAATATTGTGTGGTCTGGTTTGTCATATCTGCAGTTCTAAGGAAGCATGATTTTAAAATGATGTCTTTAAGCAAAGTAAGGATAAGTAAGGTAGACATCTAAGGATTTTTGGTAACTCCATTTCTATGAAGGTGTCATGCAAAGATTGGCCTGAAGATGAGGCTACTGGGATATTTAGTTTTAGACTCTTAGCAATCATTTCAACAGATCAGGGTTTATAGCCACTTGAAATTTATGCACTCGAAACAATGAATTTCAGTGTGGCCTTGTCGTTTTGTGTAAAACTTGTTTTGTGATGGAAGGACTGCTCCACTTCCCATGAGACTCCAGCTTAGGATTGGTTTAATGGCGCTCTGGCCCTCACAGCTCTACACTGGGCCCCGTCCAGCTCCTGGACATAGCCGGAGTCATTTTACAGCATGTCCTGCCTATGTTTCTTCACTCCCAATGAAAACAAGCTGCTCTTTCCTGTGGCTCCATCAGTTCAAAGTACATTGTTCTGCTCCCTTGTCTGTAATGTTTGGTTCCATTAACTGTAACCCATTCCCCCTTTGATAGAAACAGGAAGTACTCCTGGAGCCAAGTCTGCTTCTCTGAGTGGCCCAGACGGGCTTCAGGAAACATCCCCATGTGTGTTTCTGGCCACGTTCTACTTGGGGCCTCATTTTGTGTGCTTGTTTGTACCTTGTATTTCCTCTGTCCTTGCTGACTCTCCACTACCTCTAGGTGTCCTGCCATAGACCCCAGTCCTAGTAAAGAACAAAAACCAGAGCTCCACTGTCAGACTCCATCATCTTTCTGTACATTCTAAATAGGTAATACCACATTAATGTAGCACCCAGAGGTTACATTTTATGGAAAAATCTAGTAGCATAAGTTTCTTTTATTCAGTATAGAGCTTTGACCAGTTCTTTTGATTGCTGTGAGAGAGCTGATGTTTGATTTGCAAACCTGTATTTGGACTAACGTTTTTACTCTACTTGGTTTGAATTATAAGTCAATGGGATGAGCAGCAGACATAAACTTGGAGGCATGTATGTGGAATATATTCCAAGATATTTAGAACCTTTTTAAAATAATTAGATTCTTGTAGTAACAGTGAGGGAAACCAGATTCGTCCCATGATGCCTCAGGCCTTGCCCTCAGTTTCCTCTGCTTCTTAGTTTAAAGGAAATTAGCTTGTTGCCCTTCATACATTCTTTGGCATAGACAGGTTCTGGTTTTCTGAATGGTCAAGGGATGTCAGTAGCAGGCAGTCTATCAACCTGAATTTATAGTTTTCCAAGTCTGAAAACTGGCTAACTGTAACCAGAATAACATTGCTATCTTCTTTATTTAAAGGCAAATATTCAACTCATTTATTAATCCAATTAAAATAATAGCTCCAATTTATCAAAAGCCTACAATGTGCCAGCCAACATATTAGGAGCTTTGCCAACATTAGTTTAGTTATTCCTTTCAGGAGATCTAGGAGGCAGAGATTATTTCCATGCTACAAAGAAGCAAAGGGTTGAGACCTTTCACTGATGTAACCTAACCAGTGATGAGTCTCAGAGGCAGAGTTACACCCAGCTCTTGCTGACTCCTGACTCCCACTCTTTTCACTGTGCCAAGCTACCTTGCACCTTCAAGAGGATGAAGCTGGAAACTACGCCACATTGGTAATCTGGGTTTCTGTTGGCTTTTCCATATCGGTGCAGAGCCTTAGAACTGGAAGAGACCCCAGAAGCCCATTTAGTTGACCCTTTTCCTTGAGGAAGGGAAGCTGTCCATCCAGCTGAGAATTAGCACTGAAAAGAGTCCTTCTGTTGGAGGGAGAAGGAAGTCAGCAGGGTAGCATCAGCACCCTGACTCTTCACAGATCCGAAATCTGGCAGGCCCTCTCTTCTCAGGAGTGGATGGCCCCAACTCTCTTATAACCTTTCTTCCTACCACCCACTTTCTATCCACTTTCAGATGAACTTTTGAAGTTCTTTTCTGGATCTTTTGAAATGTCAAGAACAAGACTGAACATAGTAACCATGACTGTGATCAACTGCTCTTTGTTGACAAAGAAGGGGCCTATTCTTAAAAAAAAATATCTCTCAAGTGTTTTCCCTGAAACTCTTCTAAGAATGAAAGGTTCACATTTTGGTACCTGGCACCAAAAAAATAGACAAACAGGATGGGTTCTGCCTCCAGCAGGACATCTGGGCTGCTCAGACACTCTCTTTCAGTCACACCAGTTATAAATAAATATGGGTTTGTTTGTTTGTTTGTTTGTTTGTTGTTTGTTTGTTTTCTGTCTTCTGTCTTTGAAAACTTCCTCCCCTGATCTGTGTCAGGGCCAGATAACCTTCAGACACTTAATAAAGCTGATGGTGCTGAAGGTGATAACTAAAATTTAATCAAGGAACCCCATGAGTCAGATCTGTGCCAGGCAATCGCTCTACATATCCTGTCCCACTTCGTTCTCATTGTGACCCTGCAAAGTGGGCTTATTTCACAGTTGAGGAAACAGGTACAGAAAGGGCCACAAGGGCAGAATGGAGCTGAACTTTCCACTTGGGTATGACTCCAAAGCCTATATCCTCCTCTGCTACCATGCTGTGTGGCTGATGAGATTGACAGATGACAAGTTTACTTTAAATTTCCTCCTGGTACAGTCTAAGTCTTCTGTCCTATGTGGACCCTGAAAGACCTGCATTCACCATCTCTCTCCAGCTGTTATTCCAGTATGTCTCTTAAATTTTTGAAGCCACAGCAAATAACCTGATTCTTTATATGCATTCATAAGTCGTAAATATTAGTCCTTTCACTTTCAGTAAAGATGATACATTAAAGCAAACTTTTCGAGAGTCAGTTGGAATCTTGGGTCATTTATTTGGCATATTTCCCCCAAAACATTTAACTTAAAGATTCAGGACCACTTCACTTGCCCTTACCCCCGTAGTTTCCCAGCATATTTTAAGTCTGGTTGGAACCCATTTATTATATAGTTTATCTTACACTGATTTTTCTCAACTGTTGTAAGCTCCTATGAGAAGTGCAGTACATGTTTCAAATGATAACATTACTCAGCACTGTGGTTTCTGTGTGTCTGTTTAGATAAGATGGGTCTGGTTTCATGTTGAAGGCCCATGTAATCAGATAGGGTATGAACACACCCCATTTTGAATGCTTAGTTGAGAACCTTTAAAAAAGTTGAAGTGTTTAATGCATCTAGTATTTTAAGTTAGCTGTTATTGTCCATAACACATTCTAAATGCTGGGCCAGAAGTAATCTAGATTATTCTAATGATTATTTCAGGAAATATATCAAGTGGAAGTGGACCAGGGCCAGGACTAGGCAAGGCCAATGAGTCTCTCACCACAGGCTTAAAAATATAAATAATAATAATTTTAAAAAACAGAATCATTATTAGTATTTGTGTTTTCCCTTTTGCCTTGGGCTCCATATGGTAATGTTTCTTATCCTGACTTTATCTATACTGTTGATACGTTTTGAATTGTGGCTTTTTTGTCATGATTTTTATGTTTTAAAAATAGTATTCATCTGAATTACTGAGCTTTTCTTGTATTTGCACCTGAGGCAGGTATTTTGCCTTTGCCCCCC